CGTTTGGAGTCAATAATCAATTCGAGAATACAATAAGCTTGAAAAATTGGAGATTTGTACATTAGTCTTGAAATAGGTATTTTTATGTTTAAGTGTTCAAGTGTTAGATAGTTATACTATCGTTATAAGAATTTCTTGAAAATTCCACTTTATCTCGCACAAATCGGAAGTACGCGTCTTTACGCGCGCGATCAATTAAGGGACTTTAGACCTTTATTTTTAGACCATTAAGAGTGAATAATAATAATATGATTGGAAGTGCATTAGAGGTTTAGTGCACAAGTGAAACAAACTCGAGAGGAATCGAGCACGAAAAGCGCGTACGCGCAGGAGAGAGAGTTGACTTTTGAAACGATTTAGAGCCACACATTTTAGCTTCTCTTGGAAGCTTCATTGCAGCCCAAAAGCACTCTCCTCTCTCTCTCTCTCATTCTAGCCGGCCAAAGGAGAAGGAAGAAACAAGATCCAAAAGCTCTCCATTTTCTTGCTCATTTCTTGTCCAAATCACCTCAAATTTTACGTACAACTTGCTAAACACTTGGTGAACCACATTAGCTAGGAAGAGAGCTTGCTTTCCACGGTTTTGTTGAGCTTCAAGAGGCCGAAAATTTCTGTCTTGCTCATCCAAAGAGGTAATGAACGATCAACCTCAAAAATCTTAGTTTATAGAAGTTATATTACACTCATGAGCTCTTGGATTCCCATGGGTAGCTTTAAATTGTTAGAAATTTGGTGTGTGGGCTTTATGAACTCCCACTATGGTTTGATGGACTGATTTGTTCTGTTTTGATGTTATTAATGTTGGATTAGTGTTTAATCTAGTGGAAATAGGTTGTATTGTTGAAGGAAAACTCAAAGGAAGTGATGAGGGAATATTTTTCCATTTCTGCCCCTATATATGCCGTGGCCTTAGAGCAATTTTTTTGTGGTTCTAATGAATTTTTTATGATGTATACATGTTGTGTGGGTGGTGTAGAAAGTTTCATCAAAACATTTCATGATTTGGTTGGCCAAATGATGTGTTTTCGGAAGTCAGCAAAAACTGGAAATTTTTTTGTAACTGCTCTGGCAATGTTTTTGTTTTGGCTATAACGTTTTGCTCCGACGTCGAAATCGAGTGCCGTTTATGGCACTGGAAACTAAACATTCACAAATTTCCAACGGTATAAAATGTACATTCTGATTCCACCTGAGTAGTCCATACCAATCGTTTGAACATGAGTGTCCTGTTTCGCGTCTACACTGGGAGCCCTGTTTTGAGGAGCAAATTGATGCTCAAATATGAGCTAGCTGTGGACAGATTTTAGTAAAATGTACATTCTAATAAATTGTAGCTTTTTGAATCTAGTTTTCAATGCCACCAATCGCGCTCAATTCCAAGTTGAATTGAGTGAGTTGTGGCCGAAGTTCGAAACTGACTCAATGATTTGAAACCCTCTTTTGGCAAGTTGATGCCTTAACCCTGATTGGGACTTGTTGTTTCGAAATTCTTGGTGTTAATCACCTACCAAACATATCTTGGATGCTTCTTAGACATTATCTATCTAAATGAACCAGATTTGCGATATTTTCATTGGCCGAATATTTAGAAAAGGAAAAATTTGCATACAAAGACAGATTTGCCTTGGAAACTTGTGGGACTTTAACAATTTTGTTAACTGACTTTTCGTACGTATTTTTCTATGAAAATTTACAGTGGAATAGCTCTCATATGGTAGTGTAATACTACCAAGTTTGGTGCCATTCCCAGTCCTTCTCGATGCCAACAGATGTCCCAAAGTCTGCTTTTCAAATCTGGAAAACTTTTCCTTTTCCATTGGCCGAATGGTCAAATCTAATTTGGGGAGTTATATTTCAAAAATTGTGATGTTCATTACCTTTAAATTGCATAGTGGATGTTTATGGACTCTTGGTTTCAAAAATGGAGTGATTTAAAACTGATTTCATTGCACAAAACGTTTGCAAGCAAAAAGAAAAGTGAGAAGGCAGATTAGCCTTGAAATATTTCTTGAAGTTTGGTTGTTTTAATGACTGCCTTCCTGTGGAAATTTTTCCATGAAACTTAGTAGAAATGTTGTTCACACATGGAAGATTTAGCGTACCAATTTTGGTGTGTTTCTAATGCCAAATCGATGGCCAAATGATATTTCTAAGATAGTCTTTAAATCTGGAAAATGACTGAACAGTTTGCGAAATGTGACCAACTTTGGACTGATGTCTCTCGATACTCAAAACTCCGATTTCCGTTCCGCCTATTGTGTTTTAAACTTTGATTGTAACTCTAATTGAGTTCCAAATTTTAGAGGCTAGTTCGCATTGTGTGAATTTTTCCGAATTTCCAAACTTTGTCGAAAATCAACCCAAAACTGTCTTAATGGTCTAAAACAGCCACTTTGAGCCACATTTCGAATGTCATCCATTTGGAATCATGGAAAAATGTCTTCCAGGAACTTTTAGTACTTTGGAAGAAGTTTCCAACGGTACCAATTTTTCAATTTTGGACTTGTAATGAGTGAGATACGATTTTTCAAATATCTTGTATCAAAGCTGAAATTTTCGAAACTTAAGGAAATGGAGTTTTTCGAATTCTCCTTTTTCCCTCGATATCACTTGAACGTTTTATACTTGATTTCGAAGATGAAAACTCGATTTCTCTTGTGCTTTAAAAACCCCACTTTTGAGCCTTGATTCGCGAGTAATTTAGGCTCGCTTTCGTGAAATTTTCTTAGATTGTACAAGTGTACAATCATTCGTGATAATTGGGATTATACATGATAGTTCACTATTAATTACTCAGACTCGCACGAGGACCTTCAAGAGGATCCCACGGTGAACGCCTGAACTTCAAGTAACATTTCTTCCTTGTTTACTTGGTGAGTGTCAAGTGTACGTCAACGTGTTACGTGCTTAATCGTTATTAGTGATTGAATATTTTGAAAATGCTGAGTCGAGTGTGAACTTTACCGTACTCGTTCTCATTTAAGTGAAGTGGTGCTTGAATTACTGGACATGAAATACTTGAAGTGAATATTTACGTGAAGTGTACTTGAATTACTTGACATGAAATACTTGAATTGAAAACTTACGTGAAGCGTACTTGAACTACTTGAAGGGAATTGCTTGAAGTGACTTGTTAAGTGAATTAAGTGAAGTGTTTCAGTGATTAATTATGCTATGGCTGCATAAGTCGATTGGAGCGATGTCTCATCGACCACTGAGCGATAGTAAGTACTACACCGATTCGGGTGGGAGGTACCTCTCGTGTCGTCTTAGAACCATAAACTATTCTAAGTTGATTGGAGCGATGTCTCATCGACCACTAAACGATTGTAAGTACCACACCGATTTGGTGGGAGGTACCTCTCGAGTCGTCTCAGTACCCTAAACCTCTGAACGATAGCAAGTACCATACCGATTCGGGTGGGAGGTACCTCTCGAATCGTCTCAGAACCATTAAGCATTCTAAGTCGACTGGATCGGTGTCTCATCGACCTCTGAACGATAGCAAGTACCACATCGATTTGGTGGGAGGTACCTCTCGAATTGTCTCAAACCTATAAACTGGGCGATAGTAAGTACCACACCGATTTGGGTGGAAGGTACCTCTCGAGTCGTCTCAGAAACATAAATGGAATATGTAAAGTACTATGAATTTAATTATCTACTCGGGTGATAGGGTGTTGTCACGAGAAGGTATTGAATTGAACTTGGAGCAAAGTAAACAAAGATTTAGCTCCTGAGAGCTCCTACGTCCTACTCAAGGGGGTTTATTATAAATTGTGAATTTCTTGAATGTTTTAGTTGCCACTATTGTGTAAGTGTTATTATTATTGACTGTAGACACCAAATTTTTATTATTTTTAATTTCATTTTTATCATTTATTATTTATTTATTAATTGGGTTAGATTCATCATTTTCATTTTTGTAAGATGTTAAAAGTGGCTTTAATTCTCTTAAATTTGGTTTGAAAATTGTTAATTTATTTTTAATTGATTTTTGAAGAAAAATGAAAATGACAAAAAAGTAAGGGAAAATGTGTGGATAGGTGGAAGTGTGCATGTTGAACAAATGTACAAAATAATCATTAGACAAGTGTCTAAGGAATTATAGGACAAGTGTATAGGGGGTAGGTGTCAAGGACACTTGGTGGGATTAGGGAATTTTGGTAAAAAAATAAAGAAGAAGAAGAAACAAGCTGCGGGACAAAAAAGGGGGGCTCTGGACAAAAAGAAGAAAACAACACACAGAGAGAACGAGGGGAGGAGCCGGCTGGAAAAAAAAGCCGAGAGAGGGCAAGAAAGGTGGAGGGCAGAGGAACAGCAAGAACAGAGGGAAAAACTGGGAAATTGAGGGAGATTTTGAGCGAAAAAAAAAAGGAGGGGGCTTCAGCTTCAAGGATCCGAAAGGAAAACGTTCAACCACCACTACCAAATTTCCGACAACCTCAACCGCTGCCACCATCTTCAACTCCCCATACCATATTCAACAAATCCCCCAATCAACCATACCTGCCACCTTGTGCCTCCTTGGTCCACCAGAATTCCGCTATGCACAACCGTCGGTCTCCTTCGCGGACAGCGTCGAGATCACCACCGCCGTACTCTCAGCTATCTCAAATCCTTTCTAGACCCTCTCTTCTCCATCATCTCTATTATGATAGTTTCAAATTCAGTAACAGAGGATGCTCCTCAAATTCAATCCATTCAATCTCCTATCCTCTCAAAACGATGGAAAAGCTCCAGTTCAGGTCCTACTTCGCCTCCTTCCGTTTCCACTTCGATAAGTCCAGAGTGAAGTTGCAGCAGCAGCAGCTTCGGCTGCGGCCTTGCTGCAACGGCGGAAGATGCTGGGGAAGTCAACGTAAAGAGAAAGACAGCGAAGCAATCAGGGAGGATACTTCTGAAAGGGAAACGAGAGCGGATGAAGGAAAACAAACAGAGAAAAGAAAACAGAGGAAAATGAAAGATGAGGAGCCAGAAGAACAAAGGCGGCGGACGAGATGAAAACAGAGCAAAAGAAAGCGACTGAGGAATTGAGACTGCTACCATCTCATAGGAATCCTTCACCGCCATCAGCAAATTGCCGCCGCTCACACAAGAGCTCGGTAAGTTGACCCTTTTTCTTTTTCTTTTTCAGTTCCTTCCCAAGCTCTCTGAGCATGTCTACCGTGGTTTGCTGTGAGCATTTTTGTTTCAATTTTATGCTGATTGTTCCTATTTCTTTGAATACACATGCTTTGTATATTGACTGGGCCAGAATCCTTTTTGTTGTTGATAATTTTGGGCTGATTATAACACCGATGGAGCAAAGAACCGAGAAAATTTTAATGCCCGTTTACTGTTTGATGAAATGCCCAAACGAAATTTCAAACCAAAAGAATCAAACTTGTGCGTTTTCTGTTTACGTTCAAGAGGAAATCTGGCCAGCTTTGGACTGGCCAGAATCCGCACGTTTGTTAGTTAGGGAGAGGAAAAGAAATCAATGAATTTTGGAATCAATTTTTTCATCTTTGCTGTCTTTTGTGTTGGATGATGGTGGTGCGATTTTGCCGTGTAAATTTGCTGGGTTTTTGAAGCATCAGAAGTTGCAGAAACTTTTCCCTCGAAAGTTTGCATCGCAGAAGAAAGATTCTGCAAAGTATGAAGCATAAATTTCTGCAAATTTCAATTTAGCCCCTCAATTCCTGTCTAATTTCATTGTGGCCCTACAAACTTTCAATGCTTTCAATTGGGTCCCTATTTTAATTGGAAATGGGTCCTTGAACTTTATTTTTCTTTAATTTTGACCCCAAAACTTTGTTAATTTGAGCACTTAAGTCCCTCTTTGTTTTAAATTCTTAAATGTAGGTTGTTTATATGTTTCAATTGATTCAATTTCATGTTTATATTCATCTTTTATGATTATTTGTTAATTAAAGTGATGCCTTGATCCTTTCTTTGTTTTTTGGAGGGTAAATAAATAAATTTCGTGTCACTAGAGTTCCAACTCAAGGGAGGTACACTCTATCCCTTATTCTTGACTTTATTTTGACCCTATGTGCCTTATGTGACTTTATGTGCTCAATTGCATGCCATTTGGATGCTTTCATTTTATTTATTTTATTTATTCGCTTTATTTGTTTTAATTTAGTATGTTTATTTTATTTTAGTTCGATGTTGATCATTTGAAAGGCACTCGAATGCCAAAGTTGTAATAGCTAGGTTATTATTTTATTTAATTCATTCCCCTTTTAGATTGTAGTAGGCCTTTCCCCTAAAAATGTAATAGTTAGGGCCTTAATTGCCTTATGTGTTTTGCATGTCTATGTGCTATGTGTTTAATCGCTTTCTTAGGTTTTGGCATCTAGATATGCATGCTTATGTGTTATGTGAATTACGTGCTCACATGTCTACTTGCTTTAATTATGCACATTTACTTATATATGTGTATGATGGATGCAAATGCACGTAACCGTAGCTAGTCCAATGCTAGTCATGGTTGTCCCCTCGAGCTCTTGCAAGTCCAATGCTTGTGAGAGAGCGTAGATGTGGGCTAGTCCAATGCTAGACCCTTAGGAGCCCCTTCGCGCGATAGATCATGATTGAGTGACAAAATCACCTCATTTCATGCATATTTTACTTTCTAGGATCTTTTATCATTTTGTATGATATTCCCCTTATACGTATATCCCTTATCCCTAATTTCCCTATATATATACCCCTATGTATGATATATGGCATTAGAATGGCATTTCATTCTAGAAATAGGATTAGGGTAGTGCATTTGCTTGATTAGATTATGGAAAGCCCCTTGGATATGGGATATGGACGAGTTTGGCTTTTCTAACCTTAGCACGCTCGTATTCCCTCTATTAAAAGGGAAAATTGAGTCACGAACATTAGTCCCCCGTACCCGACATGATGCATTCCTTTAAGACATGTATATTTCTATAATTATTTTATTCTTTTCCTCTTCTTAGAGTCTCATATTTTGCATTATTCGTGACCTCTCCAAAGAGTCATTATTGGGCATCACAATTCATGTGATTGGCACCATTCAAGCTTTGAAGAGAATTTTTGCCCCCCGATACCCTCCTAGGTTTAGGGTTTGCATTCATATAGTGCATCCAAATGTGATAAATTCTTTGGTTAAAACAAGAAAATCTTTGACTAAATCACGCAACTAGCCTTGGCTAGGTCGAAGGGGTGCCTTGGATTTTTATCCTTGCCTTCCCCTTCGTCAAATGTGACTCCCGAACCTTTTTCATTGGTTTACGTAGATTTGGAGTCGTTTAAAAGGGGTTTCTTTTCTATCTTTTTCCTTTAAAAAATTCATTTTAGGTGACTTGGTACACCTTAACTCTATACCAAGTGGCGACTCCGATTTTTATTTCAAAAACCCTTTTTAAACTATATTTTGGGTCAAATCGTCGCATTTTCAAGTCCCATTTAGACCCACTTTCTTTGTAAATCAAAAATCATTTTTCAAATCAAAAATTCACTTTTCAAACCATTTACAATTTATACATTTATTTATCTTCTTATAAAAAATGGGGCGCGACAATTGAACTACGTGTCTTGCATGTTTTTCTTGGCCTCACGAACAATCGCTCACCCCGATAGATTTGTTTTTCTTAACAGGAGCTGAAATGGAAGGAATTATGGAGTGGTCGGCTTGATGGCCCTTTTGATTAGAATTTTGAATGTATTTGTTTAGATAACTTTTGGAAGCTGTCTATTTTGGGAATGTAAGATATTTTGGTAGCTTGTGATGTAAGACTTGAATGTTTATTAAGGAATTGACCTTCCTTTCTATCTTTGACTTTTAGTATCGATTGGTTATTCTTAAGTTTGAATTGAATTTGTACCGAGTCCTGGCAAGAGTTGGGCAGGCATCCCGCGGATACCCTTGGGTTTGCCCTTGGGAGAAGTGGGGGCGTCACAAAACCCAAGGGTATCCGCGGAACGCCTGCCTAACTCTCGCCAAAACTCGATACAATTTCAATTCAAACTTAAGATAAACAACCAAGAAATAACAGTTGAAGTAAGCAAAGTCACTTCCTTAAATAAACTTTCCAGTTTCATAACACAGTTCTCAAAAGTACATCATTTTCCCAAAATACAACCTCTAAAAGTTGTCTAACAATTACAATCAAAAGTCCATCGAGTCGGCTTCTTCACATTTCTTTCCATTCCAACTCCTGTTAAGGAAAACAAATCTAACGGGGGTGAGCGAATGCTCGTAAGGCTAAGAAAACATGCAAAACACGTAGTTCAATAACAATAGCACTTACACAATAATGAAAACTATAACATTCAAGTAATTCATAATTTATAATAAAACACACTTGAGTAGGATACAAGAGCTCTCAGGAGCTCATTTCCACTTGCTTTGCCAAAGTTCAATCCAATACCTTCTCGTGACGACACTTTGTCACCCAGGTAGCTAATTAAATTCGTAGCACTTCACTTACTCCATTTATGTTTCTGAGACGACACGAGAGGTACATCCCACCCGAATTGGTGTGGTACTTACTATCACTCAGTGGTCGATAAGACATCACTCCAATCGACTTAGAATGGTTTATGGTTCCGAGACGACAGGAGAGGTACCTCCAACCCGAATCGGTGTGGTACTTACTAACGCTCAGTGGTCGATGTCATCGACATCGCTCCAATCGACTTAGAATAGTTTATGGTTCTGAGATGACACGAGAGGTACCTCCCACCCGAATCGGTGTGGTACTTACTATCGCTCAGTGGTCGATGAGACATCGCTCCAATCAACTTATGTAGCCATAGCATAATTAATTACTGAAACACTTCACTTAATTCACTTAACAAGTCACTTCAAGCAATTCCCTTCAAGTAATTCAAGTACACTTCACTTAAATGAGAACGAGTGCGGTAAAGTACACACTCGACTCGGCATTTTCAAAATATTCAATCACTAATAACGATTAAGCACGTAACACGTTCACATACACTTGACACTCACCACGTAATTCAAGAAGTAAAGCGCAAGCGGTTGTTTAGGCGTCTCCCGTGAGATTCTCTTGAAGGTCCTCTTGAGTGCCTGAGCAATTAATAATTAACTATTACATACTATCGCTTAAAACCCCTAATTATCAAGAAAGATTACACTCATGTACAATCTAAGAAGATATCATGAAAATGAGCCTTAATTACTCGTAAATCGAGACCCAAAAGTGGGGTTTAATAACACAAGAGAAATCTGATTTTCATCTTTGAAATCAAGTGTAAAACAGTCAAGCGATATCGAAGACAAATGGCGAGTTCTAAAAATTCAATTTCCTTTAAGTTCGGAATTTCAGATTTGACAAGCAATCTTTGAAAAATCATAACTCACTCTCTGAAAGTCCAAAATTGGAAACTTGGTACCGTTGGAAACTACTTCCAAAGTACTAAAATTTCCTAGAAGGCACTTTTCCATGATTCCAAATAGAAGACATTCAAATTTCGGCTTCAAGTTGCTGTTTTGGAATACCAAGACAGTTTCGAGGTTGGTTTTTGGCCAACTTTGGAAATTCGGAAAAATTCACAAAATATGAACCAGCCTCTGAAATTTGAAACTAGATTAGTGTTATAATCAAAGTTTAAAACACAACAAGCGGAACAAGAATTGGAGTTTTCAGCGCCAAGATATAGCAGCTCAAAGTTGCTGAAAAATTTCTCACCGTACAAGGGTTTTCCAGATTTAAAACATGAACTTTAAGGCTTTAGTTGAGCATCGAAATGGACTTGGAATGACACCAAATTTGGTAGTATTACCCTATCATATAAGGGCTTTTCCTCTGTCAAATTTGATATAAAAATTCGTACGGGAAGTCAGTTAACAAGGCCACTAAATTTCCAAGAATTTCCAAGGCAAATCTGCCTTGTACTTCCGTTTTCCCTTTTCTGACTTTTGGGTCAATGAAATCATCTCAAACATGGTTCATTTATGAAGACAAGATCTAATAAACATCCAAGATACTTTTGGCAGGTGGTTCACACCAAGAATTTCAAAATAACAAGTCCCAATTCAAATTAATCAACTAGCCAAAAAGAGGGTTTTCCATTACTGAAACAGTTTCGCAATTCGGCCACAACTCGCTCAATTCAA